GGGGGGGGGGGTGTTTGCAGTGGGAGAAACGTCATCAGCTGACCTCTTCAGTTTACAAACAGCACATGTGCAGTGACTCAGGCTACGTCCACACTGGCCCGGATGGATTTGAAAATGGCATTTTTGTCTGAAAGCGCTCCGCCTCCACACTATCAGTCGTTTTCACAGAGTTGTGCGTCCACATTGAAACGGTCGAAAATGCCTACGTTCCAGTCCTGCGCATGCGTGAAACGCAAGAAGACTCGACCTGCCTCATTTCTCTCTGCTGCTTATTTACTTTCCGGCTCTTTGAAGCGTCGCGGCAAAATGTCGAGGAAAAGCAGCGAGTTTGTTAAATGGACTCGCAATGAGGTGGAGTCGTTGCTGCGAGTAACACAAAGGTACAAAGTTGCAAAAGCGAGTGAAAAGAATGTGAAGAACAGCTCTCTGGAGCACGTGCAGACTGATGTTCATCTTTAACAGGGCTGTCAGAGCAGCTGCTGTATAACGCCATCTTAGTTTAATTGGTCACATGACTGCATCACATGACTAACATGTGTCATTGTTTTCAAAAAGTCTCAGTTTTCCACACTGTGACACGAAAGCACCGTTTTCAAAACGCTGCGTTGTCCTTGAGCCAAAACGCCGTCTCAGTGTGGACAGGAGGCCAAAACTGAGAGAAAATGATGCGTTTTCAAACGAAAACGTGTTAGTGTGGACGTAGCCTGATACTCGCACCACTGACTCACGATAGGCTGGGACAGACCTTCCCAAAGTGTGGGGCCCGCCCCCTAGGGGGGCGCAGAGCCATTGCAAGGGGGGGTGCGGCATGAAAAGGGAAAAAAACACAACACAACGCTTGGACACTGCTAGCACGGGACGCCCACACAAACGCAAAGCAGGAGATGAAGCATCGCTGAATGTTTCCAAACCAACTTCATTCTAAGCCAAAGACTAGAAAATATGGTGAAGCAAATCTGCCCTTTGGCTTCACCTGCACAGGTGCTGAGGTAGGTCTCCCTGCATGATTGGTTTTCCCTGCAGCGCTGGGCTGTTCAAATCACAGACAAACAGGATCCCACATTCTTGATTTTTAGTTCACAAACACTTCTTGTAATAAATAACTACTCCTGACATTTTGGAGATGTTAGCTCTTTACACAGTAAAGTTAAAGCAGGTTACAAATAACATCAGGCTGATCCTGCCACAATTTGTTCCCCCGGTTCAAATCATGGACTAACAGGATCCCACAGCTGTTTATTTTTTTGAACACATTTTGCACAGAGAGGCATTTTTGGAAAATGTATTGATGCAATGTTGAATATTATTACACAGGAAAAAACAACTACATGTAAAATAATCACACCGTGACGCCTCTGCCTTTGTGAATGGAGGGACAGTAACTGTGTGTGTATGTAAGCTGTAAAACCTGCAGACAGAGACAAAATACTGTTTATCTGCTATTCTGCAATTCCTCTCATGTAAGCAATAACGTGGTGCACAGCTGACGTGAAAAAAGGCACATACCTTTGACGTTGTGTGACGAACTCTGTATTCCTCGTCCACACGGAAACGCAAAAAATGAGTTTTTAAAAAAAATGCGCGCGAGCGAGGGGGGGCGCGAACATTTTTCTGTAAAACAAAGGGGGGCCCAGCGAAAAAGTTTGGGAACCACTGGGCTGGGAGGTCAGTTCATGATCACTGATATGCAAACTGATTTATCACTGATCAGTGTCCATGAGTCCCATTCACAGAGAGTTGAATGGCTGCAATCACAGCATGTAAGATGGTGACAGATGGAGCCTTAGGCCCCTCCTCCATTCAGAGATAGTCTTTCCCTTTTCACGTAAATGGCCTCCTTGACTCCGCCCTCAAACCAGCGTTCCTCCCTGTCCAGGATGTTACATCCTCATCATTGAAAGAGTGTCCACTGGCCTGTAGGTGTGAACAGACTGCAAAGTCCTGGCCTGACGAGGTGGCTCTTCTGTGTTGGTCCATCCTCTTCACCAGAGGTTGTTTGGTTTCCCCGATGTATAAATCCTGCCAATCCTCCTGCACTTAACTGCGTACACTATGTTACTCTGTGTCGGGGGACCCGATCCTTGGGGTGGACCAGTGTTTAGGATTTAAAATCCACAGAGATGCGGTGTTTAGAGAAAAAGTGTTTCAGCTGGCACGCACGGGATCACTGAGGGTTTTCAGGCAGGCAGCAGTTGTCCTTCTATCCTGGATAAACACATTTACTAAGGGCCTTCTGGATGTGCTGCTCTCCTGCTGTCAGCTCACGCCCAGTGTTCTCACACTCAGCTTCAGTGTAAATGGAAGCTTTACACACGCGCACACACAGTTTCTTGTGTCATCTGTGTTAAACTACATCACCCATAATGCGCCTGGAGCTCTGTGTGTGCGATTAATGTGTGTGTGTGCGCGCAGGTGTGAACAGCAGCATCAAGTTTTACTGTGAAGCGAAGAATGCCAGGGGCGTCTCCGTGTCCAGAACTGGAACCGCTCACATCAAAGGTGAGGCCACACCCACACAGGTGTACGTTGAGCTGTGATTGCATGGCTATGTGTGGGCGTGGCTTGTAAACAGTGTGCCTTTGTGTCTCAGAGCTGCCAGAGGCTCCGGTCAGCCTGCAAATCGTTGGGATGGTGGATAACAACGTAACGTTGTCATGGAAACCGGGAGTCACTGGTCACTCTGAACTGTCCACCTGCATCGTCCAGGTAATGCACACCTTACCCTCATACCTCACCTGTAGGCCTCAAAAAGGTCCTCACTCCCCCCCTCTCTGAACCAGGTGTCGAGGCGCTCCACCCGCAGGTGGGACCTCCCACAGCGGGAGGTCCAGGTTCCTCCTCACCTCCACACTCTGACTGGTCTGAGGAGTCATGCCAACTACAGCACCAGGGTCTCCTGTGTGAATGAGGTGGGGGCGTCGCCCTTCTCACCCTGGCTGCACTTTCACACACCTGAAGCAGGTAAGACAGGTGCGCTGACCGTTACCTGCAGCAAACATGTGACCGTGTCATGTGCCCAGCTGGTGTCTTACTACCTCACAGTTTAGTCAGTAAACACGAGCTACAGCTGTGTGTGTGTGTGTGTGTGTGTGTGTGTGTGTGTGTATTTGGGAAGATTCCAGTCCTCGGCGTACAATCAGCTTTTGTTTGTGTCCTAAATCCAGTGTGAGGCCTGCAGCAGGGCCAGCGGCGCCTCCTGCAGGCAGAGCTCACACTGGGCCCTTTGAGCCACAGTGACCCACATTCAGCTGCAGGCCTGAGCAGCTGAGCACAGAGACAAACACCCAGTGAAACACAGCAGGAGAATAGAAACAAATAGAATCGATAGAACCAGAGGAATCAGTTGATGTGCGGTCCGAGTTTTTGTTGGCTCGTATGTGCTTTTATGTACATGTGACTGTGAGTCTGTGTGTCCCGCCTCAGTGCCCTCCGCGGCCCCCAGGAATCTGACATTTGACCTCTCGGAGCAGCAGCTGTTTCTGAAGTGGGCGGAGCTTCAGGTGGACGAGTTGCAGGGTCGACTGTTGGCGTACAAGGTGCAGTGGACTGTGGGAGGAGAGGCTCAGGTGAGACAGTCGTACCTGTCTCTCCAATGTGATTGGAGGTAGAAGGTGACGGTGATGATGTCATTATCTCTGCCTGCAGGAGCCACTCCTCTTTAAGGAGAACTCCGCCCACCTCTCTGGAGGTGGTCGTTTCTTTAACGCGTCCTTCCAGGTGGCGGCCTGCACGGCGGTGGGCTGTGGGCCGTGGAGCTCCCCGGTGCTGCTGCTGCCCCCTTCAGGTACTCTCAGACATGACATCCGCGGGGTGTTTGAAGGACATTGATGGATTGATTGTTGCCTGGCTGCTCTCTCAGCGCAGGTCCGGGTCCCGCGGAGCCACATGTGGGTCGGTCTGCTGCTCGGCCTCCTGGTCGCCACCATCGTCGGGCTGCTGCTGGCTGTCGTCGCTCAGCGCCGCGGGAAGGAGATGCAGTTTGGGTACGAACGTGTTCACGCACACCACTGACCTTGCAGCAGCACGCCTTCCTGCGTCCACAGACGCGCTGCAGCAGTTTATTTATCCACAGCTGAAAGTAGTCCCAAACAGACGCAACATGTGAACTTTTAAAGATGTTTCTGTACGTTTCCACGTGTGAACCAATGAGCTGCCAGCATCAGGCCTGTGGCTGTTTCTCTCATGTGTTTTCATGCTTCCAGCTCGGCCTTCAAGTCTCCGGGTGCAGAGACCTCAGTGTCCTTCACAGCAGCGCGGTCCTTCAACAGGAACGTGACGGACCTGCAGGAGTCCACCTGTGAGTGTGAGCACGCTCAGTGTGTTTGTTGATCGACACGATGTTGAGTCAAGTGACAGACGATGAACACGGGAATGTGTATCAGACCTCGTTGCCTGTGTCTCCCCCCAGTGGACGGTCTCTGCATCAACGACGAGCTGAAGAATAAACTGAAGGACGTTTTGATTTCTGAGCGGCGGCTGACGCTCGGACACATGCTGGGAAAAGGTATCGCTATGACAACAAATGAGACGTGTAAACAGGAACTGTCAGCAAACTCCTCACCTTCTCTTGTAATCAGAGCGACAAACACTAATTTATGAATTGATGTGGGTTGTTTTGTTTTTTTAAATGAAACTAAATCACATGATTCGCGCTGATGTCACCTGACCTTTTATATAGATGGGTGACAGTCAGGTGGTGGGAACACGACAGAAACACCTGTATAACCTCAGCTCTGTGTGTGTGTACAAAATACAACAGAGTGCTGAGTGTGAGGAAACTCCAAGAGTCAGGAGGTCACAAGCACACACACAAAATGTTTAAAAATATCAATATTCATTGAACGTGTCAGAAAATAATTTGTAGAATATGTTAAAACATAAATAAAAGTGCAATAAAATAACAAATGCAAACAGAAAATCACGGTGTGTTTACCTGTGCAGGTGAGTTCGGCTCAGTGCGTGAGGCCTTCCTGAAGACTGAGGACTCGTCTGTCCAGAAGGTGGCGGTCAAAGTACTGAAATGTGAGTTGTACTCTTCTTCTTCTTCTTCTCCTTCTTTAAGCAGCCGATGTGTTGAATAACCAGATCACGTGACCTCCTCCAGCTGACATCACCTCGTCAGGTGACATCGAGCAGTGTCTGAAGGAGGCGGCCTACATGAAGGACTTCCACCATCCCAACGTCATCCAGCTCATCGGTAACCCCGCCCACCACACAGTGGTTAACCGGAGGTCAAAGGTCAGGCAGCGTGATTAATGTGCCGATCTGTCCAATAGGAGTGAGCCTCCACCGGCGTCCCGGCCAGCGGCTGCCGATCCCGATGGTGGTTCTGCCGTTCATGAAGCACGGAGACCTGCACACCTTCCTGCTGCTGTCCAGGCTGGGAGACGAGCCGTTTGTAAGACACGCCCTGATCAATAGCTGATCAATAACCGCGCTATGCTTTGATCAATAACCAATGTGCCTCTGCATTAGGACCTGTCTCTGCACACGCTGGTCCGGTTCATGTTGGACATCTCTCAGGGGATGGAGTATCTGAGCAGCAAGAACATCATCCACAGAGACCTCGCCGCCAGAAACTGCATGTCAGTCCGCCAATCGCAGCCAACCAGTCGATCAATGATCTGATTCGCTTCAGATAGTCGTTGTTGTTGTGAGTTTAAATGAGGAGGCGGAGTGGCAGCAATCTTCCACTCCAGCCAAATGTTGAGAGTCTGCTGTTGCTGGTGCTCTGTCATGTGTGTCACATTCAGCGCGTGTACATGGAAGTGAAACTTTAAAGATGAAGGATAAAACTGAGTGTAGGGGGCGCTGTGCCGGCCTTAGCGAGCTCTGTGTGTGTGTTTCAGGCTGAACGAGGACATGACTGTGTGTGTGGCAGACTTCGGCCTCTCTAAGAAGATCTACAGTGGCGATTATTACCGTCAGGGCTCCGTCTCCAAACTGCCTGTCAAGTGGATCGCTCTGGAGAGTCTGGCTGACAACGTGTACACCACGCAGAGCGATGTGGTACGCACGCACACACCTGGGACACACAGATGTCTGTGACGTAGCTGTCCCAGATTACAGATCCTGATTCAGAGCAGAGGACATTTCAGGCTCTTTTCTTTTTTAGTTTCTGCTGATAGTCACGTTCAGACAGCCTGAAAACGATGCCTGGCGGCAGCTCGACACTGTGATTC